TTACTTGCTTTATGTCCACCCCACAGAATGCCATTTTCTTTTTCGACAGGGTCAACATAAGATATCAACAACTTGTGCAACAGTGATTCTATTATGTCACTGTCTGCATCATTGAAACATGCGTACACGTTTTTTGAGAGTCCATAAATGCTCAAATGTCCCATTCTGTCCTTGGCATCTGTTCGTGTCGTCACTCCAATGTCTAAAGTGCTATTGTATTCAATACCTTCAGATGTCACTCCAAGACTCATGTAAATCCCAAGGTAAGGTAGAGGGAAGGGTTTGCAGTCATCAATACCAATATAGCGAGCTGTTTGTTTGAATATATTATCCATCTTCTGTCGTTTGAACGATTGTGTGCTCCCTTCTTGCTGATCTTCGTCACCAGTTGGACCATCAGCTTCACGATTCCTGACTTGGATACCGATGAACGTCACATTCTTCTCTGTGATTGGAGTTTCATCATCTCGAACCATGGCAACTGGAATGATGATATCCACTCCCTTTTGATTTCGCTTACAAAACACAGCTGCCCCACGAAAGAAAAAGTTGACAAGATCCAGTCTAGTAGGAGTGAACTCAACATATGCGAAATGATTAAACCTGACCTTGCTATTGCGGAGCATCACGCCATTGGCTTTTTTGGCAAAAATCGGACTAAGCTTTTTGCACGACTCCGAACCAACGAGTGCGTCGAAAAACTCCTGTACGGTGATGGGCTGTGAGTACATGTTCCAGAGATTGGATTCTGATTGTTTGGATTCCGACTGAATCGCTTTGTCAATTGCCAGAAGACACAGGATTCTGCCAACAAGTTCACCCTGATCACCTGCGTTGACAACAACGTGATTTCTGATTGAGCTGACTAAGTGGTCCAAAACTTGCACGAGAATCCCAGAACAGTTCATTATATGGCTTGCAGCCTCGGCTAACACGGGTTCACTTGGAGATGTTGTGGCAAGGGATTCCCGTGTCTCATCGACATGGCGCAAGATTCTCATATGGCTACTGACTAACTCGGACGCTTGCTGCGAAAGGTTTGAGATTTCTAAATAGAGCCGTGGTCCAAGAATCGCTAGTGCTTCTGTTACTTTTTCGATAACCACTTTATGCTCCGCTTCATATATGTTTCTGGCTTTTTTTCTGTCACAGAGGACTTTCTCCATGGCGTACTCTATAATAGCTCCTTCGTCAACATCTGCCCAAAGAGGTCGTCCCATATTGCGAATTTGAGCTATTGATGATGAAACTGTAATATGTGCTGGTCGTTGCATGCGGCAGTCAAATACGTCAAGAAGGTAAAATGGTTTGTACAGCCTCTCTCCATCACCGACTCTGGTGGATGGATCATGGCGTTTGGCAGGAGAGAAATTCGAGACTCTTGAGAGTGTATCAGTGAAAAGTGCCATAAAGCAGGCATCGCCCCCATGTGGAACAGCCTGTAGCGCCCTCCGTAAGTGATAAAAATTACCTTTGTTATTCTTTCTGTCAATCAATACACCGGCCTCGTCGAGGGCTAACAACATTTTAAATGAAGAGGGGTTGTTCAGTTTTTTCAAAGTAATCATGAGATCGTTATAGCGACTCTCTAATTCTTCAACAACAGACGCTGGCTTGTTCGAGGTCTCTTGCGATTTCATCTGTTCTGACACGTTATTCCAAAATATGTTTTGCAACTCGAACATTTCGTCATCTTTGTCACTAATAAAAATGTCGAACACGCGGCCACATATATTTTCCGCATCTTTACGAAGTTCTTGATCGAAGAATTCTGAACATACACCAAACAAAGCCGATAAGAAAGTAAGATAATGAGCTTCCGGAAAAGCTTGTCCAGTGAGTACATCAGCAATGATGGAACGCTTTGGGTAGCCCCTCGATTCTGAATCACGCAAACAAATATATACCACAAAGACGCCTTTTTCAAATGCTAATTCTCTTAATAGTCTTGACTTGCCAGTACCGCTGGCTTGTATGAGTGATGTGTACGGAGCATAGAACTGTTGCGGCGTCCATATACTCGCACACTGTTCTAGATGACGAAAAAATACATCGACATAGTCCTCTCGAGGCTTTATCAGAGTATTCTTAAATGCGTTCTTCAATACAGCATAATTTCGATTAAATCCCTGTTTCTCGACTTCACTTTGCAGATGGGATGCTCCTGTACCAGAGTCGAAATAAAGCAAATGGGTAAGCCCGAGCTAGTCAGCATCGCAAATAGTATCTCGAAGTTTCATTCGAAAAAAGACCTCCGTTCTCCTTTATATTCCTCCCAACGCAAAAGGGCATAGACAGTGTAATAAGAATGGAGTAATAGTCGTCATTGGTCTGATCTAATTTCTCACTGTCAGAAAACTGTCATTGGATTGTGCAATAATAATAAAATCAATAAAGCTTGCCAAATATGATGTGAAAAAATTACAAAACGATAAAAATTATATATAGGATTACCCGTATATGAAAAGTTCTAATTATAATGCTTCCACCGAATACGAAAAAGCAATGCGTTTCTTGGAGATAGGTTGCGTTTGTGGCTGCTCGAAAATAATTCCGAGAGAAAATTTTGCTGAATTACGTGAAGCGTTTCAAGCTCTCTCCAGATCCGAACAAGATGTATTTTTAATGGCCCAACTGAAAGCAATGAACGGTGGCGAAATAACTGCCAGTCGACGTCTTAAAAATAAAACGCGTACTAATAAACGAACGTTTTATTATTGAGATCGCAATACGCCGCTTTGTCAGAAAACGTATCTCAATATGTTAGGAATTGGCCGTACGCACTTCGAAAACGTCAGAAATCATCTAGCGGCGAATGGTATAATGCCGCGCGTTCATGGTAATGTAAAAAGAGTGCCACGATGAAAAACCAAAATAACCATTGATATAAACGTTGCTACCACCGTGAAGAATTTTCTCGAAAACTATGCGGAAATTCATGGACTGCCAAGCCCTGGTAGAAATGTCAATCGCATTACTCAATCGCTTACACTTTTACCAG